GCATGTATTTCCTCCATGCGAGAAATTTCCTTAAGCTGAGCATCACGTAAGTTTTCTAGGCCAGAAATAGTGGCTTGTTGAGAAGCCACGGAGTGTTGAATCTGAGCAATTGAGGCCTCAAGTGTAACCACAATCTGCCTACGATCAACTAACGTCTAAGGCTCTTTGGGAACCAGTCTGGAACCCGGTTGAGAGGCAGAACAGGGTCAGCAGATGAAGATGGAGCAGAAACTAGTGGAGCACGTGGAGGAATGTCAGGAAGCTCGATCATCATAGTGGCCCTTTTGAGTTAGACGATCATCATATTGATAAACATTATCATGAGAGGTAATAATTTCTTCCTTATACGGCTTAAATCCATGCTCTTGATGGTGGCAAGAACTCGATCCGTAGCCTCAGGAGAGAGTGGAGAATTGGCATCAATGATTTGGCGAAAGAGATGAGCCCGTGCATATGAAGAGACGAATGTGATGAACGGGTTCTCCATGAATGAAGCTTTTGTGAGTAACAATGGTGAGAAGATGAGAGGTTGAAGATGATGATGGAGTGTGGTCTCGGCTTAGTGGAGGCAAGAGAGGAGACAAAAAATTAATGTTGAGGTGATGGCCTTCTTAAAAGTCGTGTAGTGATAGGATGGCTAGAAGACTTAGATGTAGGTGATTATGTTTAGGCTATTGAGTGTGAGTAGGAGAAAAAGTAGGTGTTTGTTTTGAATTGAATCTTTAGGAGATTGACTAATATAAGGTAAGATGGTCCATAAATAACGTTGGACAATAAAAATTTCGGCCAGCCAAAAGAAATCTGATTGGCACACAAAATTAAAAAAAAAAAAAAAAAAAAAACTCGTTAGAAAAAAAAATTCAATAAAAAAATTAAAGGATACCTGACTGATAAATTTAGTCCGCGAGATTGCAAACTCCAAGAGCCGCTCTAAGTAGTTCAAATCGGGATTTGTCCAATGGTTTCGTGAATACATCTGCAAGATTTTTGTCAGTAGAAATGTAATCTAAATTTATTTATTTTTCTTATACTAGTTCACGAATGAAGTGATGGCGAATATCTATGTGCTTCGTTCGGGAATGCTGAACCGGATTTTTGGAGATGTTTATTGCACTGGTGTTGTCGCAAAAAAAGGGTCATATTTTTCTGATCTAAACCATAGTCAGAAAGCATTTGATGCATCCAGAGAAGCTGTGTACAGCAACTTCCCGCGGCTATATACTCAGCTTCTGCAGTGCTGAGTGAGATTGAATTATGCTTTTCACTGAGCCAGGCGACTAGATTTTTTCCTATAAAGAAACACCCACTGGACGTGCTTTTTTTTGTCATCGGCGTTTCCGGCCCAGTCAGCATCACTGAACCCTGTGAGACTAAGATTAGTGTCAGTGGAATACCAAATACCATAATTAAGCGTACCTTTGACGTATTTTATAATACGTTTTACTGCCTTCAAGTGTGACTCTTTTGGATCTGCTTGATAACGTGGACACATCCCAACACATACAATGATGTCTGGTCTACTAGCAGTTAAGTACAGTAGGCTGCCAATCATACTTCTGTACAAGGTGGAGTCAACAGAAGTTCTGTTGTTGTCTTTGGATAATTTGGTTGTTGTTGAAATAGGGGTTCGGGCATCTTTGGCCAATTCAAGACCAAATTTAGATAAGATATTTTTCGCATATTTTGCTTGGGATATAAAGATCCCTTCTTTTGACTGATTGACTTATAATCCTAGAAAGTTCGTCAGCTCACCAATGATGCTCATTTCAAACTCTTGTTGCATGACTTTGACCAGTTGGTCCGTTTCACCTGTTTGTGTGGATCCAAAAACAATGTCGTCAACATAAACTTGTGCAATGGTTATGTGTTTACCTGATCGTTTTATGAATAATGTTTTGTCTGAGCCTCCTCGTTTGTAATTATTCTGAAGTAAATATTGGGCAAGCTTTTCATACCAGGATCTTGGGGCCTGTTTTAGACCATACAGGGCTTTTTGTAGCTTGTATACATAGTCCGGATGATGTGGCTCTTCAAATCATTTTGGTTGAGCAACATATATATCTTCACTGAGATAGCCGTTTAGAAAGGCTGTTTTAACGTCCATCTGAAAGAGCTTGATTTTTAGTGCACAGGCAATAGAGAGAAGTAGTCTGATTGATTCTAGACGAGCTACAGGAGCAAACATTTCGTCGTAGTCGATTCCCTCGATTTGGGAATACCCTTGGGCTACCAGTCGTGCTTTATTTCGAGCGATGTTGCCGGCTGCGTCAGTTTTGTTACGAAAGATCCACTTGGTACCTACAACATTGACATTATTCGGTTTAGGGATTAGGGTCCATACCTTATTTCTTTCGAATTGCCCCAATTCTTCTTGCATGGCCTTGATCCAGTGTTCATCGGTTAGGGCGTCTTTGATATTCATTAGTTCAATCAGCGAAGTGTAGCAGGAGTATCCGGCTAGTTCAAGATACTCGCGTTTTGGTTTACCTCTAGTTTTCACACCTGAACTGGGATCTCCAATCACATTTTGGATCGGATGATTTTTCTGGATACGAGTTGGAACGTCAATATCATCTTGATCATTGTCTGATTCTGACTCTAGTTCAGGTTCAGGTTGATTAGATATGGGCAATGAGGTAGATGACTCAGGATCTGGTTCCGGAGTACCAGCGTTAGGGGATTTAGGACGGTTAGCTTCAGGATCTATCACTGAGTCAGGTTGAGTAACTTCGACAATCTCACGTGGTTGGTCATCGATTACGACATTTGTGGACTCCATGATGGTTTTGGTCACCTTATTGTATACTCTATAGGCTATGCTATTTGTTGAATAGCCGAGAAAGATTCCTTCGTCGCTTTTTGGTTCAAATTTTGAGATCGGATTCCTATCTTTCAAAATAAAACACCGTGAGCCAAAAATATGAAAATATGTAATGTTCGGCTTCTTACCTTTCCATAATTCGTATGGTGTTTGTGTTGTGCCTGGACGAAGATAGACTCGGTTGATGATGTGACATGCTGTGTTTACAGACTCTACCCAGAACTTCTGTGGTAATCCTTTGGCGTTTAATAATACCCTTCCCATTTCCTGAATGGTGCGATTTTTTTGTTCCACGACACCATTTTGCTGAGGCGTCTTTGGAGCTGAATACTCATGAGTGATTCCTGATTGGTTACAGAAGTCATCGAACAGCTTGATTTCGAATTCTCTGTCGTGATCACTTCGGATTCGAATAATGGATTCATTTCTTTCCTTTTGGAGTTTTAACCTCAGTGTTTTGAACGCTTCAGGTGCTTCGGACTTTTCCCAGCTTGACAGGCACCGCAGATAGTTGACTCAACTTTCATCTTTGGTAAGCCACGAACACCTTTTATTTTTACAAGTTTATCGAGGAGTCTATAACTCAGATGACCCATTTTTTGATGCCATAGCTCAGCTTCACTTATGCTGGACCTGCAACAGAACATATTATTTGTTAGAATATAGCAATTATTAGTTGACCTTTTACCTTCCATAACACATTGGTTTGTTTTGTCCATAACACTGCAGCTATTTTTAGTGAAGCACACGTTCTAGTTTTGGTCGCATAATTGACTTATGCTGATAAGATTAGCGTGAAGACCATGGACAAGTAATACTTTGTCCAGCTTTGGCAAGACATCTACATTTAGTGTGCCTACGCCAGTAACCTGATCTTTAATACTGTCGCCAAAGGTAACTTCACCTTTACTGGCATTTACGTTACTTAGGAATTTGACATTTCCTGTCATGTGACGGGAACACCCGCTGTCAAAATACCATTTCTCTTCTCTTCCTGCACTTTTAGAGTGAAAAGAAACAAATGAAATATAGTCAGTCTTTTTAACCCAAATCTGTTTTGTAAAGGGTTGAATGTTCTTGTGCCTGAACTTCTCGATTCTTTGATCCTTGTAAAAGTAGTAGCATTCAGGTCTGGTATGACCTCGTAACCTGCAATAGTGACAAACGGGGTTATAGAATTTATAATGTAGCTTATTTGATCTTACTATACCATAGGTGCGTTTCATTGTGCTGGATTCAGGGATGTCCTCTGGATCAGGTCCAGACGCTTTGACAAATACCGTTTTATCTTTTGAGTTGCTCCCGGTGAAGCCCAAACAAAATTTTGCAGGAGTTTTTCTTCCGGAATCAAAGATTTTTTCAAGTGTTGAAGTGGTGTCCATCATTTGGATTTGTCGTTTGTAGGTGTTGAGCTCCTGCTTCAAGGTCTGTACTTCTTGTTGAAGTTTTTCTTCTCGGTCGGCCGCCTCCTTAAGTAGTACATTCCCAGTATGTACTTTGTTTTGTAATTTTTCTTCTCGGGCAGCTGCCTCTTTAAGTAGTACATTCCTATCAGCTATTTGTGTTTGATATACTTTACTAGCATTTGTTACAATCTCTATCTCACTAGCTAGTTTACGATTTACTTTTCGTAGGGCTTCCCATTTGGGGTACAACTTATTAAACTCAGCTTCAAAAGACAAAGCATTTAGTTCCAAATCTTCTGCGGAGACATATTCTCCACCCTCTGAGTCAGCTCCTTCAACAGATTCAGAACATCCAGTGACACGTGTAGTAAACGCGACAAAGTTACCCGAGATTTCTTCGACATCTGACCCAGCTGGTTCAACGTCAGGCTCGTCGTCGCTCCAGGTAATGGCTGACATAGACTTTTTACGTCTAAGATAGGTGGCACATTCTGCTTGTACATGTCCAAAGCCTTCACATTCATAGCACTTTATTCCTTTATTGTTAGGTTTTTCTTTGGACTGTCCTGGACGTGAGACAGACAGTTTGAAGTTTGATGCACCTGTCCTGGGACCAGATTTGGACGATGTTGTTCCCTTTTGTGAATTTCTGTTGCGTGAATTTTTGAATACCTGTTTCAGAATTTTAGAAAACTGTTTAGTCAAGAAAACAACTGTATCATCACCTGTATCGTCTGAATCAGATACAACATTATTTTCTTCAGCGGCAAAAGCAATATTTTTTTTGTTTTTTCGTGTGATCAGTTAAGATTTCCATCTCATATGTTCTAAGATTTCCCATTAACTGAGTAACTGTTTTATTCTCCCAGCCATCATGTTCTTGGATAGCTGTGACTTTCATTCTAAACCTGGGAGGTAAAGATCTCAGTATTTTCTTAACAAGCTTTGCTTGCAAGAATGGTTCACCAAGGACCATTGCACGATTCGTCAGTTCTTGTACGCGTGTGTGAAAGTTGATGATTGTCTCATCCTCATTCATTTGAAGCTCTTCGAAGTCAGACTGGACCAGCTGCAGCTTTGATTGTTTCACCGATGTATTTCCTTCGTAAGTTGACTCAAGGGCTTCCCAAGCACCTTTAGCTGAAGAGATACCTATAACAATTGAAAACTGACTTTCATGCATAAGAGAGTAAATTGTGTCTAAGGCCTTATCATTGTTTCCAGCGTTAGTTATCTCTGTTTGAGACCACTCAGTCTCAGGTTTAGCTACTTCTGTCCCGTCAGTGCTAGTACTGGGTTTGGTGGGATGAGTCCAGCCTGACACCACAGACCGCCACACTGCTTCACCTTGAGCTTTTAGGTGTCTACGAGTGCGAGAACCTATGAGACCGAACAAATAAGCAAGAAGCAGATAAATAATAAAAACCATTGACGACTTGAATTAAAGAGACTCGGAATCGCCAGATCGATAGACTAATAAATTAAGTCTACAGGCTCTGATACCAATTGAAATTGCACAGTGAGTCTTGAAAGCAAGATGTAACGTATTTTTACTTGTTTTGTAAGTTATGCATCAATTACGTTCATTAATTTAATTTGTTTAAACAAATATAAATAACGAAGACAGAAAGCATAAAATAAAGTAAAAACACAAAATAATTGTTACGCAGTTCGGAGCTCCTTCTCCTACGTCTGCGGGGCAACCCACGCCTGCCCAATCCACTATAGATGTTCACCAAAAGGAGTATTACAATTGGTAAATATAAATGACCTCCAGCCTTTACCACTACCACTCTTTCTAACACCTATTCAGGACTGAAACACGTATGCCAGAACAATCTTCACAAGATGCTTCAGTAGTACCACGTACAAATCAAGTATCCCAAATTAATTCTTCTTAACAATTGAATAACATATCAGATTAAATTAAGAAGCTTTGTGAGAAAAGTATGCAATCTGAATTGTAGTCTCAAAGTTGGCAACTTTCCTCTTTGGTGTAGCTTCCTTTTTATAGCTAATATTAAAGCCTCATTCTGATCCTTAATATTAGCTCCTTCTTTTTTGAATAAATCTCAGCCACATGTTCTTTGTTTGAAAGCTTCCATTTGTACGCTGTTGACTTTCTTTTCATTTGACAATGCATATTGTCCACTCAAAAATACTTTGATAGTTATCAAGTGGTCCAAAGGAAGATTAACACTAACAACCCTTAATTAATTCTAATAACAACACTACTAAATAAAATAGCCAATAAAGTTTAACGTGTAGAATAATTTTACACTTACAAAATGAATTTGCAAGCATAAAAGATTATTGGCTTCCTTCAGTTTGCCAATATATTAAGATGCTAATGAAAAAACATCAACATACAATTAGAATGTTTAAGTTTAAGAATGTTTTGTTTTTTGGACACTATATATGTTCTTATTTCAAATTAAATAATTATGGTATTTACCCTATTAATTAATGATTTAATTAGTAAAATACTCTTATTTATTAGTACTAGTATAACTATTTGTAAATATGCACCATTATATATTTATGTGCGATAAATAATGTCCAATGTGTAAGTATTTTTCCTAAATACAATATATTATAATATATTGTATTATTGGGTGGTTGTGGTGCAAGTGGAAGATTAAGTCAGTTAGTGACTTAATCTGTTAGGCAACTCAGGAAGGCAACTCAGGATATTCAGTTAAGCTTTAACTGAATATCTGCCTACATTGATGGCATGTAGGCTTCTAAGCAAAATAGTCCTCCCACAGCTCCCGTGTTCAGTATACACGCACCATCGAGTATTTGGGAGAGAAGTGGTAGACAAAATACTAGCCTTTATTCTGCAGGTTTACCATCTCGTGGCAATACCAACAACTATGGTTGAGGATATTCGGGCGATCCTAAAGCTTCCGCGGTAACTAGGCAGATTACTCGTTTACTATAGTTTTTGGTATCAGAGCTCTATTAATCTCTGCCTGGTTGATTAATAATTAGTAACAAATATATATTTTTTGAAAATATATTTGTTTTTGTTTTCTGAACAACGAACTGCGTAATTCCATTCAAAATTCCATGCTTGCCTAAACATATTACAGTAACAAGCTTCTACTGCTAGTTTTTGTTGTTTTTGGTTTGTCAGCATGGGTGATGACTCCGACGATTGGAGGTTCGCCGGAACGGTGGGGCTGCGGCTTTGGTTCTCCGCTGTGAGCCTTGCCGCTAGGAGGACACTGTTGTGAGTCATGATGGTCGTCGGTTGCTATGGTAAACGACGGTAACGTTCAGAGGTGGTGTTCGCATTTTTAGTGGCGGGCGGCGGACGGTGGTGGCGTCGCGATGAATTCGACGGCGGTGGCACTGCTTCCTTCTTCAGTCCGTGGCGCATCAAGCCATGGCGGCGGTCGTTAGCACTGCGCAGAGCACATATGGCAGAGTGGCTTTGGCTCCGATCGCTGCTTCTTCCCTGATTCTTCGCCGGCATCATTGCTGGTCTCTGTCTTCATCTAGGCAGCGCCTGACGGTGTGGGGTGGCGACTTCTCCGCCTAAGCCACGTACGACATCGTAGGAGAAATCAACTGCCATTCTGTTCGTCTGGTGGCATCCCTGCTTCTTCGCTGCTTCAGCTGATTTTCCGGCGATAATGAAGATATAATTGAAGATGATGGATGCGACTCCTGGTACGTATTTAAAAAAAAAAAAAAAACAATTTCCTTTATTTTTAGTTACCATATATTAATATTTGCCTCATTTTAGAATTACATATTAATTTTGATAAATGGTGATTATATTATGATTTAATATTGCCATATTAATATTATCTTAATTAATATTGTAAATTGGTTGGCAAAGGGTAAATAGTAAGTAATTGCTTGTTTGAAATAATGATGCCCTTTAATTATTCTCCCACAGCTCCCGTGTTCAGTATACACGCACCATCGAGTATTCGGGAGAGAAGTGGTAGACAAAATACTAGCCTTTATTCTGCAGGTTTACCATCTCGTGACAATACCAACAACTATGGCTGGGGATATTCGGGCGATCCTAAAGCACGAGACAGGTTACTCGTTTACTATAGTTTATGTTAGCCTTAATATTATTATCTAACACAATGAACAACAAAAATCTATTCCGTAGTTGATGCGTAGTATATTTGTAAACAAATAATACTCGGACTACGAGTTATCGATCCACAGGGAATGGGTTGTATCAAGCACTAGTTACTAATTTATTCATTAGAGCTAATCCTAACAATTGCTTAGATGATTGATTTGCATAAAATAAATAAATTAAAGTAGAGATTCAGGATTTTGAAAACAATTATAGAGAAGATGAGATTCCTGGGATTCAAGTATTTAATCACATAGTGCCAAATCTTAAGGGCAATATTAAAATATGGGTTTAACAAGTGTGAGGATGTAAGGTGGTATAGAGCTACTCTCGTAGTCACTAACACTAGTGAATTTCCACTCTCGTGGCTTAAACACCCAATAAAACAAGATCAAGCAACATAAATTCCTAACTACTACCATCTCTCGATGCGCAATAACCAAGAATTAAACCCCCTAACAAAATTACCATTTCTCAAGGTGCAACAGTTAGGTGCAATTGTGTGTGCCCTAAATTATGCCCAACTCTCGTTGTGAGTTGTGACACAAAGATAGCAAACAAAACAAGTAACTGTGACCACTAATTACAAGGATCAAACAATAAAATAACAATTGCAACACAAGTTTAAAACCCCAAATAATAATATATTAAAGAAACTGAGAGCTCAGGCACATAGGTTCATAAACACTTTTACCCAAGAATCTCTAAAGAATTTAGCCAAGCATGGCTAAATTATAGAATCATTAACTCCTCGGGGAAGGATTTTGGCGTGGGTTTCGAAATAGGGAAATCCCTAAAGTGGGATACCAACCAGGGAAAGTGTCTTTGAGAAAGGCGACATTCACCAAAGGGAATCTCGTCTTTAGCATAGGCAACATTCTAATACAGTATTACGGAAAAAAATTAAAGAATATACATTGAAATACAATATTACGGAAAAGAAAAAAAAAACATGCAGTGAAATACAATATTTTTAAATACTTTGTATTTTTTACTTGTAAAATAATAGGATAAAAAATCTATTTTCTAATGAAAAAAAAAATTTGTAGAAGATAAAATTTAAGAAAAGTGGACTAAACATGCCTTTAAAATCTTTTTCATTAATAAACCCATCGTAATAGGACCATACATGCCATTAGTACTCTTACATTTCTACTCACAAATTTTTGATTTCTAATGTGACAAGTTTTAATTGATTATTAGTTAAACTATAACATAAAAAGGAAAAAAATTGATTATTGGCTGGAAAGAAGGAAGAAGAAAACTGATTTCTTCTGATTTCTCTCGCTGGGCTGTAATGGCACGGCTGTTTTCTTTGGCTGGGAAGAAGTGGTAGAAAAAGCTTGAAATAAGGTTATATTTAAGAGGAGAAAGAAGGTGGAGCAGATATCTTGGGAACGTAAAGGAATAAATACGGTAGGTTGGGAGTAAATACAGTGGTTTACTGTATTTACTCCACCGTCTACGAAGAATTAATGAAAAATATATCTCGCCTAAGGGAAAGGCGAGATACCTTTTAGCTAATGTCGCCTATGGGAAACACACTTTCCCTTATACGTAAACCACTCCAAACATTTCCTTGTCACGAATCCCATGTTAGGATTCTTCCTCCTCGAGGAAATCACCCTAAATTATACCTAGCAAATATTAATAAAGAAAATACAAATTATCAAACGAGTACAAGAATGAACCATACGATTCTCTCGAATCTCCCTAGTCTTCTTCTTGCTTCCCAAGTTGGATTTCTCCCTGTCTTGTCTCCAAAGATCTCTAATTCTGAATTATGTCCTTCGGTCCACTTTTGACCCCAAATTTGTCTTAGGACTTCCCTTGCTCATAACTTTGACCTAAAATGGTTTAAAAACACTAACAAACACCGTAAAACATTCAAAACAAGTGTGAACCAAAATTAAATGATAAAATAAAGGATTATGCAATTAAATTACCAAAACTATGAACTCAAGCCTAACAAATATAATTAAACCAATGCTAAAAAATGTGCACAATTGGACTCACATCAGTAGTAAAATAAAATGTTCAAAATAATTTAATAAATAAAGAAACACACATATATATTTTTAAAATCATTATAATATAGAATTGGGATAAGGGTCAAATAGGCCCTTCAACTATAAGCCAAAGTACAATTAGCCCCCATAAACAAACAAAAGCTTCAATTAGGTCATTTATCTATTCACTTGTATGCAATTAAGTTTATAACTTCTTAGGTATGCGTATTGATGAACGCTTTCTTCCAGTTGTTATGGGATTGTATATCAGTGGAGGATTAATATAACTGACTGAGCCAATGCGCTCCTTGAAAAATGTCAATTCAGGCAAATTATGCTGTGCAACCGTGTGCACCATGCATGGTGCACACGGAATTGGATTCATAATTTTTATCATATAAACAGTGACAGATCTAGAAAATCATCTGAGTGGGGGCGAATATTAAATGGTGTTAGAAATGTCAATGACAAAATATCAAAAAACCATAATAAGGTTAAAATACAAAATACATTATAAATTACAATATATTTATGAGAAAATATGAAACATAATCAATTAGATAAAATAATTTTAATAACAATATATTCATAAATACTTTTAAATTTTAATTTCTTTTAGTTAGATTGATTTTTCTAAATTAATTCAAATACAATAAAGTATATTATAAACGTGTATACTACATTAATTAAATGATTTATAAAAACTAGACTAAAAGAGCATTTAATTTGTTAATTAAATGATTCATAAAAAAATAGACTAAAAATATTTAATTTATCTTGTCAAAAAATGAAAGAGAGAAGATAATTAAAAGTGTTGCTAATGAGGTTTGAACCCATGAAATAAGCCTTTTATAACAAAAAATTTGGAGATCAACCAACTAAACTATTCAAACTATTAATACTTTAAACATAAATATAGATTTTATATAATATTTCATGCTATATATATATATATATATATATATATATATATATATATATATATATATATATATATATATGGATGGGTGGGTGGGGTGGGGGGAGTGGGGGCAGCTGCCCCAAACTGGATCCGCCCTTGACTATAGATTCATAATTTCTATACTATAGATTCATAATTATTGAACTCTATATTCATAATTACAAAACACTATGTTCCTAATTTTCAATGTTAATATTTCTAATTGTTGAACTCTGTATTCACAAATCACTGAACTATATGTTCATAATTTGATAACTATACAGTTTAGAAATTATGAATCTATACTATAAAAATTATGAATCTACAGTATAGAAATTATGAATCTACAGTATAGAAATTAGGGAAAATCAACGATTTGGTCCCTCAATTGTTAGCGAAATATCAATGTAGTCCCTTAATCGCCTAATCATCGATTTGGTCCCTCGAAATAACTGTTTTTGGTTGATTTAGCCCCTCCGGTCGTAGTCCGTCAATAATCCGGCGATAGCTCCGATTTGCCCTGGGCAATTTAGTCTTTTCACACCATCTCACCTCAAAAATATGGCAGTCGAGTGTTATCATGGGCTTTGGAACCTTCGTCTGTCTAGATCCTTCGTCCGGCCTCCCCTAGGTCATCGCCATCAACATCGCAGCGATCAGACGGCTTTGGAGCACTTTCGTGATCGCGGTCCAGATTCATCTATGGCGACGCCGGCGGTAGCCCCTCTCGACCCCCTGGAGTTGTCGTAAAGCCTCAGCGGAGTGATCTCCATGGTCGAATTAAAGAACGACTACCGGTTGCGAAGTTGGGTGGTCCGAGTCGCCCTTCGTCTATGGAGGATTCTTCGGCAGTAGAGGTGTTGCAGGGGCAATAGAAGGAGGGGGACAATCCGTGGGATATGTTACGATCACAATTCACCAACCAATTTGATGATCGCCGACTTCCAGAAATGTTGGAGACAGTTGCGTCTCCATGGAGCTCCCGGGCAGATACGGAATTGGTTAAGGCTTCAGCCGGTGGTGGGAGTGTCGACGGGGCCGGCGCTCCTCGCCCTACCGGTCAGGGCACAGTTCGACAACCTGTCGTGGCTGATGGTGGAGTTCGGACAGCGGTCGCGACTGGAAACCTCGGTGCTCTGTCGCGATCGCCTGTCGATCAGGCTAGGGTGGCTCAGGTCGACTCTTTTTTTTTTCGGCGTTAAGCTCCTTTCGACTAGGTTCAACGTGCCGGCAAAGTTTTGGACCGATGCTCTGCCTACTGGAAACAGTCATCTCAGTGCCATGGTCTGGGGCGGTGTTGCATCTGAGACTCTCAATCTCAACGGTAATCATATTTTGCCGAAAGTTTATTTCGCTTCGTTTGTCATCTTTTTCTATTGTGTAGTAAGCTCTATGCCTTTTATGATCAATGAGGAACAAAATCGTAGCAACAAGTTTTAGGAAGGGCAAGATAACATGTAATCTAATTAGGTTTTGTCTGCTTTGTGCAGAGGATACTTTGTGGACTGGAATTCCTAGGGATTATAATGATCTAGGTGTTCTAAAAGCATTAGCTGAGGTTATAAAACTTGTTGATGATGGCCAATATGCACAGGTTACTGAACCCAACAGATCCAACAAGCTCAAAAGCACTATTTTTCTGGCGATGAGCTCCTTCTAATGAGCAGACGAGATGGAGCTCCCTCTGGCGAGCTCGAGCTTCTCCAGCGAACCAGCACGCGACGGACCACCGTACCCAGCAGATCCGACGGGCTCAGCGGCTGATTTTGTGATAGATGGACTTGGCTCCATTTTTCGGCCGACGAGCGTTTTCCGGTGAAGCTTGGTCATGGAGGATGAAGAAGATGGTGTGAAAAGACTAAATTGTCCAGGGCAAATCGGAGCTATCGCCGAATTATTGACGGACTACGGCCGGAGGAACTAAATCAACTAAAAACAGTTATTTCGAGGGACCAAATCGATGATTACGCGATTAAGGGACTACATTGATATTTCGCTAACAATTGAGGGACCAAATCGTTGATTTTCCCTAGAAATTATGGATCCAATTACGTGTGCACCTTGCATGGTGCACACAGTTACACAGCATAACGCTCCGTCAATTCATTGGTGGGCTGTCATCAAAGACTTATGCTGCCATCATGGATGCTTATGCAAATTAAATCAGGGACTTTGGGCAAAACCAGAGGATGTGTTCTTCAGTAAGAGGGATATGCTCAGAAAGAAGAAGACAGTTTTGGGGTATAATGTCATGGTTAAAGCTTATGGGAAGGCAAAGATGTATGATAACGCTTTCTTCCTCTTCATGGGCATGAAGAATGTTGGAAATTTATATAGTAATGGAGATTAATGGTTCAGATGGACTACCATGAAAGCTTAAATAATATTTGGAGTTGTGGAGTTATAAATATTATTTTAGTTTGGTAGAAAGTTAATATGGAGAATGAGATCGCTGGAAGGCTTTGTCTATCAACCAACATTGGGAGATTATTCCACAATATAGGGGAATTGTGTATTTCATTTGGAAAATGATTATACAGCACGTAAGCTTCCAATTTCCCAAACTTACATGCAAAAGTGTGCTTTTGAAAATTAATATATATATATATATATATATATATATATATTTGCACAGTTATTTGCATGCGGTTCACAACCTTACAAAGGTTCATAATTACATATATATTCATGTTGAACATGATTTATGTAATTAATATTCTCTTATGATAAATATATCATTTAAGATATATTTTATGGAAGATAAGTTTTTAAAACTGCAGAAAACTTCCATGTAACTTCTCCAACAGTCATATTTTCATTTATAAATAGTTTGGAGAAATATCTGAAAAGATACATGCAATAAACTTGCATTAATCTTGATATTTCACAGTTCTACAATTCTATAGGAAATTCTTAAGCAAAGCAACTTAAGAATTTCATTCATCATCTTGTATCCCATAAGATTAAATCTTGAACCTTGTTGCTTTTATATAGGGAGATTTAAAGCTTATAGGAAAATGATTACACGCCTGAAGATATCAAATGATCCAGTTTTTGTTCCCTGTTGTTTTTTGTATTTTTTTTGTATTTCAAATGTATTACAGATTACAAGCATTTTTTCCAACAAAGAAACCGACAACTTTTTTTTTAATTAGTTAAATTAAGAGTTAATTTTATTTTTGTCATAGATTTATAGGTGACAACCTCTTTTTATCAGAACATTCACATTTGGTCATAGTATTCTTGTGACATGACCATTTTTGGTCAGCTGTCTACAAAATCCTTGAAATGCCATTATATACAAAGACATTTCGATCATTTTTATACAAAGTTAGTTAACCCCGTTATATTTTTATGTTTTTTTTTTTTTGAAAAAAATCACAATTAAAGACCAAAATGATTTTGTATTTAATGATATTAAAACTATTTTGTTAATGTCGTTAAAAACTTTTACAAGGCTAAATGGATAGAATAACAGACTAATAGTGATTAATCTAAATAATCTAAACTAACACATTATGCCCCCATGTAAGATTGAACTACAAACCTTCAGTTTACAAGACTAATGCTCTACCACTAAGCTATAAGGGCTAAGTATCCATGTAGATTGGATACAAATATGAAAACGGAATAGAACATGTTAGTTGTTATAGCTTCAATGGGATACAAATACAAAAACTGAAACTACTAAAATAAGAGAACTTCTGCTAGTTTCAATTGACCTGATGGGCAAGGTACCCAATAGGCCATTGAGAGATGAGTCTAGAAGACCCCCGTTTATTCCCCAAGGCCAACGGCAGGCAAGGAGACCTTCTGCTAGTTTCAACCGACCTGATGGGCAAGATAGAAATCAGAGTCCACATGCTAGTAGTGGCGAAGATTTTCTCAAGAGATGTAAGCTTGGATTTGACCATGAAAAAAGCGACCCAAATCATACCAATCCTCTCAAAGGAGAGAGTACTGAGAGTTCTGACAAGGAATCACCAACTCCACCACAAGATGATGAGATATTTAAAAAATGAAAGAAACTGGGTTGATTCCAAATGTTGTAGCAATGCTTGATGGGCTTTGCAAGGATGGATTGGTTCAAGAGGCAATGAAGCTCAGCGGCAAACTATATCGTGCACCAGGGTGCACAATACATTGTGCGCCTTAAGAGTTATTTGTATTATGTTAAGAGTTTATATGTATTATTTTAAGAGTTTATATGTATTATGTATTATGTTAAATTATGTGTATTATGTTATGAGTTTATGTATATTCTGTTATATAATTATATACATACGAAACAGGGGATTTTTTTGGCACACAATGCATTGTGCGCCCTAGTGGACGATATAACAATTGAAGCTTAGCTCTTTGGGCTTATGCGTGAAAAGGGTACCCTTTCGGAATTAGTTATTCTTAAATGGAATAAGGGCCAAATTGGCCACTGAACGTAACGCGATAGTGCAATCAAACCACTCGAACTAAAAAAAAAAGTGCAATAGTCCATTCAATAGCCCAAATACCTCCAATTTCACCTGGTAGCCGGTGGTCAACCCTTCTTCCCAGTTGCTCACTGATGTGGTTATTAGGTGGCATTAGTAGGCAGCTTGTGTATTTTCCTTCTTTCTATTTCCCTTCCAACGTGTAATAACATCAACAAAAGCCTATGAAATTCCCAAATTGTTTGAGTCTCCTTCTTCGCTCTTCTTTCTCTTCTTGATTCCAGAAACCCTAGGAGCTCTTGCCTTTCTTCTTTACTAGTTCTAAATCTTGTTGTTATACATGAACATGTTTTCCATTGTAGCTTCACTTTGAATTGCTGCCTTCCCTTCTTGATCTCATAGTCATCATCCCTGTTAAAGTCAACATGCCAACCTATACTTTCAACAATGTTCTCATTGAGCTTTTTCGTTATCCTAGGTTCAAAGTTACTAGGCCATTTCTCTACCTCTTTTCCGCATCTTGCAATCCTTGTCATGGTACCTACCCTTATATCTTCCAACATCTTCACTATTGGTTTGCTCCTTGCCTTAACAATTGTTCCATTAAATGCCTCACACATGTTGTTGTCTACTGAATCAAATTTCACTTCAGTTCTCATGAAAGCCTTGCACCAATACTTAGTAAGATAGTTGGCCAAATCGGCTTTAGCTTGTGCATCCTTTAATCCTAGTTGCTCAACCATTGCTTCAAACTGCTGTGTAGTGGTTGCATTTGCACACATCCAAAAGTGCATTTTCAAAACCTTTCCTCTATGTTTCTTGCTCCAATTAGCATGTATATGTCTTGCACAGTTCCTATGTTCCACATTTGGCAGAAACCCACTTCATAACCCCTTTGATAAAACAACCATCAAAACCAATTAATTATAGGTCTACACCCAAATAGAAACCCACTTTTCATTGATTGGAAACAAACATATATTCTCTGAAATGTACAAGGTGCTTCTGGAACTACCCTAGTAGTCTTGATAGCAATAGTGCTTCCAGGATTAGAGTTCAAACACTCTTGAGCATAATCTCTTATTCTCTTGAACTGCTTTGAATACCCTAGATTCACCATGTGTAAAACTGCTTTTTGTGACCTTCTCACCATAGTGATGGTCAAATTAATCTTCAACTCAGACTGAATATGATCTCTAAGCTTGGTATGTTGCATGGTTGGGTCTTTTATAATTATATCTTCATATTTTTGTTCCAACCATTTTTGAGTTACCAATTTCAGCTTGTATTTGTTATTGCACCTATGATCAAGTAGGCATGTTTAATTTTCAGCTGGAAACACCTATACCTTTCTTCCCAACTACAATGACAAAGAAAAGGATACCATGCAACACATTTAACCCTCACCCTCATACTCTCATTCTTGTAAAAGTATATATTCCTTAGATGGATGTGTTATATGTTGTGAAACTTCTTCTTCTTCTGACTCTTGGGTTGGTGGGTCTACTGAGTCATAATAGTAGTCATCACTACATGCCTCACCCTCAACTGTTTTCATTTTAGTGCCATCTAGGTTCACTTCATTGTTTTTTTCCTTAACCTCCTTTCCCTTTGCCTTTCCATTTCCCTTTCCCTTACACTTAACAGTACCCTCATCTTCCCGTTCATACTGCAAGTCCACATTAATATGTGTATCATCTTCATACTGTAGTTCTGTATCTTTAACAAAATCCCCCCCCCCCCCATGGTGTAATTTTAGTTCTACATTGCACATCACTACAAAACCTAACAACAAAACAATCCATTCTCAGCATTTAAATTACACAATTTATCCAGTTATAACAAAAATCTGACTGAATTTTTAGGGTTTATGTTAGACAATTCTGACTCAAATTTCCATTAAAGGCAATAACCACTTTTCTACTACTTTATTCTTAAGGTTTAGTGACCACGACTCTGACTCCAAATTCCATTGAACAATGCAAGCAATTTTCTACTTTATTATTAGGGTTTAGGGACCACAACTCTAACTCAGTATTCCATTCAACAAGAAAACTATTTTTCTACTTTATTCTTAGGGTATAGGGACCACACCTGTGACTCTATGTTCCATTAGAGAATGCACACCAAACGACATCAAGTTCTGTACAATAAAGCTTAGCAAACGACAAGGATGGACCACATAGTACAAAAACAAAACTAAAGCAAAGCAGAGATGTCGGGATTTAAGTTTACAAACAAGATAAAGTCACAACATTTTCACAAAAACAAACAACAAACCGACACCCAACTATAAAATAACTCACAAATTCATACCTGAACAAAAAGAAATTAAAAATGCAAAGTGAAAGCCTTCAAACTCTTCAAACAATGAACCAACTACGTTATCACTCTTTGGGCATTTTTTATTGGAGTAAGAAAGAGTATACGAAGGTTTAGGGATTTCTGAATTTGAGGATTTCTTCGATTTGGGGATTTTGGTGGATTTGGTATTTTAGTTGATGTTATTACACGATGGAAGGGAATAAAAAGAAGGAAAATACACAAGTTGCTTACTAATGCCACCTAATAAGCCACATCAGCGAGCAACTGGGGAGAAGGGCTGACCACTGGCTACCAGGTGAAATTGGAGGTATTTGGATTGTTGAATGGACTAATTGCACTTTTTTTATGTCGAGTGGTCTGATTGCACTATCGCGTTATGTTTAGTGGCCAATTTGGCCCTTATTCCTTATTAAATTAAACTATATTTATTGAAACTACACATACACACATGTTTGCATGTGCTTATATTTTACATAGTGAGGGTAGAACTCATCGACAAAATAAAAAATATCGAGGGTAAACTTGATAATTAATAAGAAATTATAAATGTACAACACAAAGAACATTAAATAAAAACATTTAAGGTCACTTATATCACTAATTAATTTTTAATTTTAATGTTAAAATAATGGTCAAAAGATAAAATGAGAAAGATAAAACTGAAAATATATATATATATATATATATGTGTGTGTGTGTGTGTGTGTGTGTGTGTGTGTGTGTGTGTGTGTGTGTGTGTGTGTGTGTGTGTGTGTGCGCGCGCGCGCGCAAAGGAAACACAAATAACACAATGAACAAACACTTAATACAACGTAACTTATATTATCAACACAATTTTTATTCCAGCCTTCCAGGTAATGACTAACATAATTCGCTCTTATTAAATTGTAGAGATGTAGAGATATTTTTGTAATTATAAAATTAGTAGATAATTGATATATATGCATATTTAACCCCAAAAAAAATGCAAATTGTCCGATTAGTAGAGCATGATTATTGTACAATAACGACTTCAAAATTATTTTTAGTAACTAGCAAAAGTTGCAGTAATTAGCTGAGGATGTGCACTACGTAAATTCTGCATTATAACTCCTAGCCAACAAAAGATAACAAGGAGGCAAATTTAAGTTGCTCATAATTGATCGACTCATACTAAAAGACCAACAAGGCACTATAGCTGGAGTCAAACTTGTATATTTACATGTAACATATATTCATTTCCTTATATTTTTCAAATTGTTGTTCCCCATTTTTGTACTTTATGCGTCACCATGAACATATTTCTTATATTCGCTTGGACTCTAATTCATGTGGTGATGTAATGCTGAATTTTCTTCTTGTTGTCTATGAACCATTGAGCTAAGCTCGTGCCGAGATTTGATGCTGAAACTGGTAATAGTGTAAGATGGGTTTTGCAAACTGTAAATGTAGTCAACAAATATACAAATGATCATTTTCACGTATAGCACCAATATCTTCCACCTCAGACCCATTACCCATAAAAACTTTACTTCCTCTCTTCCCAAACCTGTTCTCTGCATTCAACACAAAGATTAGGATTTAACACTTGCATATATGTAATGCTTCATTGCATTAATAAATCATCTTTTTCTTCAGTAAATGAGGATAGGATTATATTTGTTACCTGCAATACTCAAAAGCTCTTCAATGGAATTAGGAAGGTGGATGAGCTTGCCTCTACTTTGGTCTTTTAGTTCATCATCATTTGGATGATGCCCATGTATTATCACTCGTGTCGGAAACGTTCCAATTGAGGCAAATGTTGTGTGGTTTCCTGCAAGTTATCAAGAAGATTAATGGTACAACATAGAAGACATCAAATTGGAACTTCTCCATCTATCATGTCTAGCTGTGAGCTTACTGTTTTCTTGTTGGTTTTGTCCTTCATTATTGCTTCCTTGTCCCTCACCTTCTGCACTAACCTGCAGATTAGAGACAAAACATCATCTTAGGAAGCAAAAGCAATCTTTACTGTAGTTGTTTTGTGGTCAGATGATTAACATTAATTGTCACTTGATAATGGCTGTACAGGTGAACATTTTAATTACATCGTTTTCGTTCGGGTCGCCCAGCAAATCTTTTACAATTGGTATCTCATCCAATTCCTCCTTTTTCAGTCCCTTCAAATGCTGAGAATGCATAAAACTCCCTGTCAGGATGGTGAGTTGTGAATATGCTAAAAGAAAATTTAATCTTGTCAAAGTTTACCTGAGAAAAATTGGAAAGAATTTTGTTGCCATCTTCAGTAAGGGGCTGCAGCAATTGCTTGAAATGGTGATGGCTGATACGGATGACCTGAGAAAGCCTCCTGCTTCTCACTGTGAATGGCTGTGGGATATTAAAGATCACACCCACTTCCCCAGCCATTTCTGTAGATCCCAGTTTTGACAAGAACTGTTTACATAATCAATGGAAGAAGATCATATCAGGCTCACTTTTGCAGTTCAATTGTTTCAGTTCTAGTTATTATTGTATTGTAACTACTAACCTGTTCTGTCCCATTTATGTATGCTAAAACATCCTGCAGATGTAAAAGGTTGTTTACTACGATGCAGAAAGAAAGGGAAGATTAATTGCAGCAATAATAGTACTAACCACTTCACCAGATACAATGACATAGAAATCTGTTGGTATTTCATTCTGGATAATGATGTCAACTTTGGGTGGAAAGTATTCTGCTTTTAGTTCACATACCTGTGTAATAACCATATACAAAGAAACACAGGTCACAACCATATTTTGTTAACATCTCCAGTTTGGAGATCAAGAAATAGATTTCTAAGGGTAACTCTAGCCAAGTTGGTCAGACTGTTCACTTAGTGACCACAAGGTTACTTCTAGTACAGTGGAAGTAACCTATTAGCCTTCTTGGTTTGAACTGTTCAGCTATGAGTAACCTAGGCTGGTTTCCCTCTTTGTGGTCCTTTGCAAACTAAGATTATAAGGTGAGGTTTACCCAATGCACTCCCTCAGATAGTGGCTACGGGTTTCCTCGTCACTCAAAAAAGGAAAGAAAGATGTTACCAACTGAAGGATGAAGTCTTCAGAAACACCCTTGAAGAGGTAAGTGTTTTCAAGAGTGGAACAAAACAGGTGCTGAGCAATGGCAGATCTTATAGCCTTGGGCAGGTCTTCCAACACTTGTTGCTGCAACTCAGCTGTCTTAAATTTCAGTCTCACATGAGCAAACATTTGCTCTTTCAGCCCTTCTGCAAGTCGGTTCTTCCTCGCGTATCGCAGCGTATTATTGATCGCATCTCTCTACACACCAAAACCAACCATTATTATTATAACCTTTCGCATAGATCAAGACTCTGATACCAAATTGAAGTATGCACTTATAAATACCATGGTGAAAGTTCTCACTGCACTGTGGACAATGAGATTAGTCATGGTTCCAATCAAGTAAGCTGTGAGGCCAATGTTGAAGAGCATGTAGAAGATGGTGAAGATCTTCTCTCCAGTATTCACTGCGTATAGATCTCCATAGCCCACAGTAGCTAGAGTGACAATGGACCAGTAGGTAGAGTAAGTGTAACCAAGCCATAAACTTCTATCCTTAAAATCTGGAACCTTAGATCCTATCCATGTCCTGTCTGAATCATGGTAGTGAGTTGCAAGCCAGAAGTAGAAGCAGCCGGCCGAGTGGACCACGAATAAAGTCACCTGCCATGGATCAAAACATACATATGATCAAAATAAAGTCGGGTCGGGCCATCTCCCGAGTAGAGTTAGGCTCTATAAGTGCTACATACTCGAACAGAATCACTATAAGAAAAATGCACATACGCATATTAGCTTGAAGGTCCTTGTCCAGAAGTAGCTGATACGAGTGTCCTTCTCAAGCCGGGAGAAGAAGGCACTGACACGGCGAAGCCGCCATAGTCGGAGCAAGTTGAGAAAGCCGAAGACAGCACCACGGTGCGCTTTGCCGGTGATTACTTGGTATATGGTTTGGAAGGGAATAGTTGAAGCTATATCCATTGGGAAACCAAGATGTGTAACATACCTTCAACCAACACGAAATATATATCTTTCATGATCATATAAAAGTTATGATAAATGTGGGATCAAAATGTAAGATTGAGAAGTGAAGGTGTGATACCTCAAAGCAATTTTCTTATGATCATCCACAAGCAAATAGGTAGATTTGTCCAAGTAAGCCACAAAGAAAGTGAGGATAATATCAATGCCAAAGAAAGCATCCACTACCAAGTCAACCGGTTGAAGAGACCCAGTTGCCACCTTTCTAAATGCTAGCTCGAAAGGGGATGACCATGCCGAATACACCACTAAGATCACAAGAAATAATTGCCACACCCTGAAATATGGCATCTCGGGAGCTAAGAAAGTATACATGGACAAATAGTATATTGCAATAGAGTCCGTAGTACTAAAAAAAAATAATTTTGAATTAAATTTGAACCAATTTATTCGATTTTTCAGTTAGAAATTGAAAATTGATATATTATATGTATTTATTATACTTGAAAACTAGACATCTCATTGCTAGAAAACCACCCTTCTCAAATTGATATATTATGGCCCTGTTTGGTAAAAAATTAGTCTATAGGCCAATTTTGGCTTATTTGACCACTATTAATTGTTTGATTTAGTTAAAATATCTATATAAATGTTTGGTTAATTAGCTTTTTGCAACTCTAAAAGGTTAAAATTAAAAAAGCTACTCCTAGCAACTTTGTCAATTAGCTTTTTGAGAAAAGAAATTATATCAAACAGCTATCAGCTAACAGCTAATTTGCCAAACACTTTTCCACAATCAGCTAATGTTATCAAGTATTTATACTCTCTAATTAACACAACAGCAAACAGCTATCAGCTAACAGCCATTTTACCAAACAGGGCCTATATGTATTTATTATACTTGTAAACTAGACATCTCATTGCTAGAAAATCACCCTTCTCTCGTTCACTAACTTTTATAACCCCCACAAAGATATAAGACATTTTTCAAGCTAACTCTTTTTTTAAGAGTCCAGATAAACTGCAATCACTACTCAAGTGTGAATTAGGTAAATCGATCATGTGTAATAGCTTATATTCCATAAATCACACATGAGATATTAAATTATAGGAAAAATGACATTTTTTACCCTTGAATTATATGTTTATAGTACATTTTCTTCCTGAGTTATTCATGTAAGCACATTAGCCCCCTCAATTATTCTAAAAGTGGCGGGTTTTCCCCTTTATATATTAAATTGACATTTTTACCCTTAAAGTAAACATTTAATTTATTTTTCTTCTCCAACAAATTATTGCTTATACGTAGGGATGACCACGGTTCAGTTCGAACTGAACCGGACACTATAGCAATCGAATTGAAGGTTTCCGGTTATGATTCAGATCCAGAACTCAATATTTGGATTTCAATTTATTAAAATCATGAATCGAAAAAACTGAATCCTGAACCGTGAACCGCCGGTTTGAATTGGAACAACTACTAGCGTTAGCTTAAAATTAGAATTATAATATTTACAAATAGTGTATGTTCTTTTTTACATTTATTCTGATTCTCACATATAAGTATATATGACCATGATTTGGTTTTGATTTTGAACCGTCGGTTCATGGTTCCGGATCCAGTTTGAACTGCCGGTTCAAGCTTTATTTTAAATTTTTTTTTTATTTTTAAAATAGTCTAAATTCAACAATAAATGTATTTTATTTTTTCAGTTCAGAACATGAATCGTCCATCCGGTTCACGATTTTAATAAACTCTAAATATCGAGTTTCGATTCTAAATTGTAATCGGAATATTTTGGTTTGGTTGCTACAGTGTCTATTCGGTTTGAACCAAATCGTGATCATAATTTGTTGGAGAAGAAAAATAAATGAAATATTTATTTTAAGGGTAAATATATGTCCATTTAACATTTCAGGGAGAAAAATTGCCACTTGAATAATTCAGGAAAAAAAATGCTATAAATATATAACTCAGGGGCGGGAAAAAAGTGATATTTCACTTAAATCATATTAAATAAATAAATAAACAGTATGTGAAGATCTCGACCCATTTTTAGACATTATTTTTTATCACTACTATAGTAATTTAAAGAATTTCCTTTTCAATTGAAAATTTTAAATTTTACCACCTTAATTAGGTAATTGAAAATCACCAAAAAAAAAATAAAAAATAGTGGTGTCTAGCTTGTGCTACCATATTTCTATCCTATATATTTTATTTGTTCTATGTACTATTCATTGGTTTAATTAATTCTTTACAATTATTTTCTTTAATATCTTATTAAAATTTTTAAATTTAAAATTTTATGTTTAATACGAAGTAATATTTTTAATATAGCTTCTAAGTATATATAAATTATATACACTAATGCTAAACTAAGATATTTCAAAGAATTGAATGGTAAGTAAACTTTCTATTTTTACTATAGTAGGTGGATTTTTTGTTCT